CTGTACAGATGGCACTTTTGGAATGTTCATCACGGAATGGAATCTCATAATAACCAATAACAGGTGATAAGTGTCAAATGATGCCATTTATGGTGATAATGGACGGCTAGAAGTAAGCATCTGGAGCAAACCGTCCGCATGTGAACGGGATCTCGGAGTGCTGGTTTCCAGGTCGCTGAAAACCAAGGAGCAGACTGACAACGCTTGCGCCTTGAGTTGGAAAATCCCTGGAGNCCTGGAGCCATTCGTCGTTCGTTTTCCAAACTCTCATACGACGGTTTTAAGGCATTGTACACCTCCCACGTCAGACCTTGCTTGGAGTTTGCGAGCGCCACGGCATACCCCTATACAACTGCTGAAATGGTGAAGCTGGAGAGAAACCAACGAGCTGCCACCCGTATGATTGCCGGGTTACGCGGGTGTTGCTACACCGAACGATTGCATGCGACTGGATTGTTTCCGGAGTCCTATCGCCGAGTACGGGGTGATATCATCTGTGTGCGACGCATTCTTTGCGGTGACATGGGTCCAGAGTTGATGGAGTATTTCCCTCTGCGCGAGCAGACGAGAACTCGTGGACATGGACTTACGCTGTTGAAGCTTTCGTCCGTAGGATTACCTCTTCGGTTCCGGCTGTCGCGAAGGGTAACCAACCTTTGGAACTCCCTTCCAGCTGACGTGGTGGACGAGGTCAATGATAAGGTGTTCAAGAGGAAGCTCGACAGCGTCCTGCGAACAATGTGGTATGCAGATCTATCATGAATGAGATCTTCGAGTCTGTGGTAATGAGGCTCATACGGCAAATTGCCCTCTGTCTCTAATTGAAGAACATTGAACAAATCATGGACAGAAATAGGAGATTACATACTACCAGTGTCCAAAATGAAATGAAGTGAGTTACCAGTAGAGCTGAATAGTTGTTTATGAATGCGACCGTATTGGGAGGTATTTACCAACGATAAAGAAGAAGAATGTTTGTCTGTGTCACCCACTTCTGAGTCCTTGGATTTAATTAAGCGACAAGTTTTGGTACTGCGACACAGGCTGAACATGGCCAGTTTTGTCACACATGTAACATGAAGCATAACGAAGTCGACATGTGAATCTGGAATGACGTTTGCCACAGGATGCACAATTGCCATAGGATTTATCCGAATATGTCACATTATGTGAGCTAGATTGTGTAACTGGTCTGAACCGTCTGACTGTAGCATGAACTTTCCTGGATTTAGTTTTGAGTGAATTGAACATGGCTGTAGATTCGATCGTCGACGGCATGGATGAAGTAGCGGCGCGGATGTCCTGATATTGTTCACAATGGGCTCGCACATCTTTGAACGTCGGATTGGATAGCTTTGGAAGTTCATTTTGCAAAACAGTATTGTATATGTCAGCGATCAGCTGATCTCTCAACTGCATGTCCACTAAGTCTCCAAAATCACACTTTGCAGCTTGAGTGAGTAAATCCATGATGAATTCGCGGATGCCCTGATTAGGATTGCTTACCATTAAATGAAATTTTGCTCTCTGAGGTTTCAAAGTTCGTTGGCTTCACATACTTTAGACGAAGGAATTTTAAATCCTCGTACGGTACGGAAACAGGTGGAGAGGGATAAGCCAATTCTTTGATTAGTGTGTAAGCATTTTTACCGGCAGTATTCAAAAAGAAAGCGGATTTCTTTTCCTCATCGGGCTTTGAGCGGGTCAACCACCAAATCTCAAAACGTTCAAAATAATCCTCGATATCGCGCGCACTGCAGTTAAGATCAAGAAATTCTAGGGGAGTAGAATTCAGTGTTCAGTAGACCGGCCGCGACGCCAAATGTAGTATTTGGGATAGTATTCAAAATGGGATTCCAGAATTCGCGCAATATCAATCCATAAATAGAGCAACTTTGAATCAAATAGCTCACGTACTTTATTCGAATCGTATACTACGCATATTGAATGCATTTAAAGTGTACAGGGAATCTTTTCGAGGTCAGTGTCACACATCACAGAAATCCATACACCCTGTGAGAAATATATCGGAGCTTAGGACTATTGAGAGGGATTCAGCTATCGCTATGCATTCCATTTCTGAAGGACACTCTATTAACTTCGAAAAACCGATTATTCTAAAACAAGGTTTCCGGTCATATAGGGAACGACTAATTACTGAGTCGTTGTTCACCAACAGCGATCCACTTTGGTTCAATCGACCGGACGGGACCCAATTATCAGTCTCCTGGCTTGTTACAACTTGGACAGCGAACCACTCACACACACACACACACACACACACACACACTAACTCAATTGTTCCGCCCCCTGGACCAACCAAAAGCACCTCCAATTGATACGGTTTCTCTCGCAGTTTTTATTTAATGTTCGCTTGTTAAATGACTTGCAAAGGCTTTGCACGGGGGTCGAAACGTCTTTAACCAAAAAATGTTGTTTTTGGTTTTCTCCCTTTGTGGATAATTCAAAAATTCCTATAAGGATCTAATACTATGAGCACCATGCACAAATACATCCGATCCGAATTTCCATCTGATACTGTGAAATGAACTGAACCTTATGGACCGGCATTTTTTAAAGTCCTAACGACCAAGTACTAGCATCACGAAATAAACTAATCTAAACTTAGGTTCACACGCATAATACCCCATCCCTGTCCTACTGTGTCCCGTATTTCCGATCCCATGAAATAGAAGCTATATCATTTCCCTTACTTAACTATAGGCTTACAGACATGGATAAGCCCGCTCCGATTATACACCTCAATCCTATAATACAGATAACGACAACGAATCAAACGAGTAAATCATTAACAAAAAAAACATGCAGTGAAAGAAAGTTTATTTATTATACATGTAAATTTAAAAAAACCTGTACAAATAGTGTTCCGGATTTGTCATCATCATAGTTTCTGCAGAAATCGTTGATTTATCCTGGCGAGTGAATCTCGAGGAATTATGTTTGTGCACGGTTTGCGGAGAATGTTGATAAGAATAACGTGACGATTCTACGACTTCGCATCGGCACATGTGTGACATGCTAAGCACTCAGTTGGCGGTCAAATAGCTATCATTGATGTCATTGATATCACTGATGCACAAGTAACAGAACTTTCTGCATGTTACCTGTAAAACTCCGGAAATCAACATTAGAGATCAGCTTGCCCGCCTCGTTGACCGAAAGAAATAACAGCAAGATTGTATAGTTTGGCTTCCCAAACTATATACATCAGGTCGATTGACTGTGAATGGTTGATTATGCAGATAATCGGTCGGCTAAAAGGAGCTACTTATGAGCTACATCAGCTACATTTGTTATTAACCAGTAATTTACCTTCAAAGTGTTTTCGTAATATTTGTTTTTGGTTTGAAATCTCGTTTTTATTCTTAAATCATGAAAAGTGCTCGTATTTTTGGAGTCAAACGTCACTGATTGGTGTTTTAATTCACGGCACGAAATGATAGTTTGAGTGACTTATCTCGTGCTGGGTTTTGTTAGCTAATGCTAGTATGCTAGCTGCACAGCAGTGCAGAAGTTCTGATCTCTCAACGTCCACCGGATAATAAGTTAAATTTTATGATACATTTATTTTATTGTTATTGCTTTTGGTTATATTGTCACATTTTTTACGAGAATTATTTTGGTGATCATACAAAAAACATAATTTTGTTCAAGATCCGGGACCACTGGGCTTAGCCTCGAACCCGTGAAATACTTCAAGACTTCAAGAAGACTTGAAGACTTGAAGCTTCTTAAAATGTAATCTATATCTCGCTGGACATTTTATCGCAACAACGGATGCAACAAGTTAAGTGTCCTATTTGTGACGAGGTAAGTCTTTAGGAAGACAAAACAAACTGCCCAAGATCATTAGGTAAACCAACTGTGAAACGTGTATTTTATTCGCAATACGTTTTCTTCTATAAGTGCAATCTATTTCTTTCAATGTGAATTCAACATGGTGCAACTGAAAGAATTGAAAGAAAATTTGTCAGATGAGAATATATATGACCGATTTGTAGGTTTACGTTGTGTTATCTATTGAATACATAGGTGAAACAATTGATGCAGTGAAACGTGCTATGTCTACGGTACTGCATGATCCGTTAGCTGCGCTGATGAGCGACACCGGAACACGTGGGAAAATACAAGCTTCCAACCGTTTGTTTATTCAAGGTCTTATGGGTAAGTAATTATAATCAGATATGCATTACTTTATTAGATGCTATTCAGACAACCCCCAGATTTATCGATGTTTCAATGGATTTTGTTGAACGCAGGTTGTTCAAAAATACGACGGACAGAATTGCCACCAGAAAACTGCGCCAGGAACGCACTGCACAGCAAATGTGATATACTTTGCTAATATATATCAGTGAATAAATGGTCTCATACAATACGCCCAATTATCTGCATGAAAGCCTCTTAGACGCTAGTTTTAAGATACTTTCTAATTAGGATTACCATGATACAGCAGCGGTGAGGGAAGATTAAAGGAGTCTATTCCATTAGTCCATAAAGTGCGTTTTAATCATCACAAAACATGTGCTTAAGCCCATTGCGAGATCTTAATACAGGAAGAAGAAAATATAGGGTTTATCAGAGATTAGAGAAGATGGAAATCATTAAACGCGGGTTTCAAAAATGTAGCTCATAGTAACGGGCTAATACCGCCACTGGACTACAAATGCGCTAAAGTTTTGATAATGTCGCTCATTTGTAGCTCAAATGTAGCCGACTGTTAGCGCGCTATTCGCCAACAATGTGCTACTTGGGCCGGGAGGTGACAGTAACATGTGGGATAGTTTGAGCTTTGCGGTGTAGAACTACTTC